ATGGTGCAGTAATACATAAACACACACACTGTGTTGGTTTTGTCTGGATCTCAGTGCACTCCAGTGCAGGTAATGGAGTACTTGACCGTAAGATAATATCATAAATAGAGGTAAATGTAATAATTTTGACTTTGTAAAAAATTTATGTTTCATCTTATTCTCAGTCTTGGTCAAGAAACTCCTTCAGGAAAACTTTGTATTGAGTCAAGACTTTAATGATGAAAAGTAGAGCGGTGGTAGAGTCGGTCATCTGTCAACTGGAAGGTCGGGGGTTTGATCCATACAGGAGCTCCTGCATCAGACAAGGCACATGTCTGATGTGTCCTTGGACTTACTTAACCCCAAGTTGCTCCAGCTTCTTTGTTAGCGGCGTATGAATGAGATTAGCTAATACTGATGGACACGTACAGTACATAGCAGCCTCTGCCATCAGTGTGTGAATGGGTGTTACCTGCGGTGTAAAAGCGCTTTGAGTAGTCAGAAGCTAAAACAAGCTAAACAAGCTCACGTCCATTTACCAGTTTACCAGCAATTCATTTCATTTATTTCAAGTAAAGTTATGAATCGTAGTTTGTATAAAGTTACTAATCATTTGAACCTTTTTGCCGATGTATCGGCTGAATATACTGACTTTCTACATGTTGATCATAAAATTAAGAAAGTAATCTTGAATTGCCAATTAATCTTTTGTTTGGAGCATTTCACTTAATTTGTGATAACAATATATGTTTGCTTCAATTATGATTATGAATAATACAAATTGGGGGGGGCCCATTGCATTTAAAGAGACACACACACCAAAACAGAGTGTTCTGAGAGAGCTGATTTATACAGGCTCACAAACCTCCTCTGGTGCTGGATTCATGTTATATTTTGACCAAAGCACAGCACAGATGTTTCATGTAGACCACAGGGGACTGTTTGAAAAGGTGGAAAGAGGTATAATGTGTCCCCTTTAAATAGACTGTATGGCTGGCGTAAACTAAAAGAATTGAATCAAGCTGTGAAATAAACATCTGAGCTGACCAGTTGGTCCACTAATGAAAACATAATCAACAAAGCGGTAAGAAATACGTTGTTCTTTTGTCAACACAGGGACACAATACCTGACGTGTTCTGTAAGGATGAGATTCAGAGGAGGCACCACAGGGGATACGACACCTGCTTCACTTGATATGCACCTATACTCTCCAAATGTAAACACAAGCAGTTCCCTAGGTCTCCTCAATACATCTAATATGCATGGAAGGAATGCTCTGACCTTGGCGGACTTGCTTACAATTACAAATACACACACACACACACACACACACACACTCACAAGCTGACAAACACATTTGGATGCCCGTGAACACTTAGACACTGACAAAACGAAGCACTGCGCCTCTCCATCTTTCTCCCTCATCAACATTTCCCCAAACACAAACACACACACAAACGCTCTCGTCCGTCTGAATTAAGACTAATAAGCAGGTGAATCGTCTGTGGAGGCTGAGCTATTAGCGGTGACCTTGGCTAACTGTGGTTTGCAGTGAGGGTCAGGCGATCTGGCGGAATGAATAAGTGGGCTACGTTGGCACATTTGTGTGGGCAAATCAACACGAGAAAATAATCCCAGTAACTACACTATCTCTCCGTAGGATATGTGATGTGATTAGACTTGAAGTGACTATCGCTTCATTGATTTGCATCTTAATGAGCTAAGTCTCATTTTCAAACCAACACTTACTTATTAGGTTTAAGCTTATGCTGCTGATACCACCCATGTGTTTTGTGACAGCACGTTGACAGTGACGTATTTGCTACTTAATGCATTAATTAGCTGCTCTAATGGACTCATTTGCATCGCTGGGTCCTTTTCAGACATGGCGGTAACAGCAGAACAACAGGCAGCTCGAGCGTTCACTGTAGTGAAAACATCAGGTAATGTGAGCCTTGACTATAGGGAGGACAGACACTGAAATTAAAAAGAAAGAACTGATTTAACATGGCAGACTTTTTTTTCTCCACTGCAGGACTTAACATGTATTTGTATACTTATCTCTAATTTTTTTTTTATACGTTAACATTTATATTCTTAACTATGAAAGAAGGTCATCAAGAATAATCTTCAATGCTTTTTAATGCGCTTAGCAAATGACACGATGGTAATGTTGCTGACTATTAAATACAGCAACAAAAACGGCTCCTCTTTACCTAAACTCTATAATCCAGGTCTACACTCCCTCCCGCCCAATACGCTCTGCCAATGAAAGGCGTCTGATCCAACCTTCACATCAGGGTCCTAAGTAGCTATCTAGACTCTCCTCTGTCGCCCCCCGGTGGTGGAACAAACTACCAAACTCCATTCGATCTTTAGAATCCCGTTGAACCTTTAAGAAAAAGTTAAAGACCCAGCTCTTTCATGAATACCTACTAACTTAATGAAGATGATGACGAAGGTCTCAATATTATTGATGATGATGATGATGGTAATGATGATGGTTTTTGTTTGATAACGATGACTTATAAGATGTTTCTATACTGTTTAGAGCTCTCAAGAACTGCCGTCAATGTTGTGCTTTGCCTCTGTGCAATGCCTGTCAGCACCTGTGTGTCCAATTGGACTCAAAGCTGATCGTTTGCTCTTACTGACGTTGTTTACTTTTTTCTAGATCCTTGCTTGTGTTGTTCTTACCTCTGATGTACGTCGTTTGGAATAAACGTCTGCTAAGTGAATTGTAGAATTGTTGAATTGTAAATAGGCTGACAATGTTAAAGCTCCTTGTTATGAAATGGACTGAAAATAATATTTATGTATCTTTATGATTTATTTATTTTTTAAACATGAACATCAGTGACAAGATTGGTCATTTCTATTATTATTAATGCCTAGAAACCAAGCGGCAACCTCCGATCTTGAAAAATTAAGTCAATGCGGCAGTGCAAGATCCTGCAGTTCGTCGAGTGTCTGCGTTTTTGTTCTCCACCACCTCCTAACAAGTTAAAACCTGCTTAAAGTACCTACAGTACCTTCTGAGGCCTAGAGTCGCTCCCCTAAGCTGAGTGAAACTCCTTTAATATGAATCAGTGTGGGTTCATGAGTGATTCATTTTGTAAAAGCCATTCATAGTTAATATGATAATATTGATTATAGATGCTCTCAGAATTTCTAAAATGATTTGTGCTATATCTTCTAGTTTTCCTCACAGACCTCTGCGTTTTAAACTTTGGTTGCTTGGCTCTTAGGACATCTATATGCAATGAAGTGCTGGTTTGCTGATTTTAGGTGGTGTGTTTGGAGGAAAATACAGAAGTTAGTTTGGCATGCAGTTCAAGAAAAGTGCCTTTGCTCAGGATCCATGAGCCCAGTTTAAGAAAGTAAAAAAGTAAGCTTTGGTGAAAGAGAGCCAAACTGAAACAGAGGTTAACTCAGACCGATCTTGCTTGTTTGTACAAGTTTTCCTTGAGTAGTGATTTAAAAGATTAAAGAGATATGGCTTGTATGAGCTCCTCAGGCAGGTGCTAAGAAATTTGACTTTGACAGTAAAGGTCCGGTCAGCCTCAGCTACAAGCACAGTTCATCCAAACAGCTGCTGCTTTACTCATGTGGGGATGAAAGGTCTTAAATGTGGCTGGTGGCAAAAGCTGTTTTGACTTTAATTATCCTCAGTGGATGTGAGAAAAAAGTCAGCAGGTTATCAGGATAAAGGTTTGGAGACAAAAGTTCTTTAGATTGTAAGTTGAGCTTTTAAGGTCTTGATTTTTCCTGCATGAATTTAAAGTGAAGCTGAGCAGCGGGTTTTGCTGACCTGAAACATACTTGCAGATGGTTCATCAGAAATTTGAAAGTCTTGCACGCTTAATAGGGTATGTTGACAAAGTGGTTTAAGTCACACACCCCTGTGTTTTGGAAAAACATGGTGTTATGTATATTACTATGAACATCTGCAAAGGTGGCCAACAGCAGTGATGTAATTTAACCTAAAGAAAGACGCATCAGATCTGTATTCAAATGCCTATCCGGAAGTTTCTGCCCTTAATTTGACAAAGATTAGACGTTTATCTTTACAGTTCATCTCATACTACATGTGAAAAAACATTATTGGCACAATTAAAAATCTAATCAGAAATAAACCCAGTATATAACATCAGAGACAGCAGGTTGATGGGTTTGTGAGAATGTCTCTAAACTGAGGAACACGACACTAAATCCTCTTACTAAAAAATAAATGTCAAAGTAAAAAGTTCACTAGCCGGATTTAAAACCTCCTCGTCTCGCCCCACTCGTAAACATTTACGTATAAATACAAAATGTTTTAATATCATCTTGGTGACTTTATGTATGTTGTTCTTTTCTAAATCAGCTGATAACCCAAAGTTTATGTCCTTTTTTCTCTAAACTAAACGTCCATAACCAGTCCATTACAGCTATGAACACTGTTAGAAACTATTACAAAGATATATTATTTAAAAGTAAAGATCCCTCTCGGGGGAACGAGGTTAATAATTACTCATCAGGTCAGTACGACTCCTCTGATCACAGTATGTGCTAGAGACTGAACAAACACTCCTGTACACCTTTAATTATGTTTATTTTATAATGTTATGTTGCCGATCACTGTTCACAAATGTCATATTTTAAATGTTTACATCACTGGTCATAGGATTTAGGCTCAAACTTGCCGTTTCAAAGTACGGTTTTCATATTTCAAGCCTTTAAATCTGTGAAGACCCCGACTTTTCCATCAACCGCTATTCACTCAGATGGAATGATTTCACCCATAAAGGCCGGCATCGTTTGGGCAAAGCACCCAGATGGGTTGCTCTCATGAATTCACAGTTTCAATGAATGATTTGAAACAAACTTAAGACTTATGAAGCGTCTTAGTTGGTCTCTGCTTAGCAAAACTGCCCCGGGGTTCTGACGAGGCAAACAACACAACTAAGAATTAAAATCCTTAGTTCCTCTTCTATCTTATCTTTTGTAACTCATCCTTCTCCTCCCTTTCTTCCCTCAGAGTGCGGACCTTCCCTAAGGATTCTGCCTTACTGGGTAGGGACACTGTTCGAGCCCTGATGTACTACGCTTTGAAGGTCTGGAGCGACATCGCACCACTTAACTTCCACGAGGTGGCAGGAAGTGACGCCGACATTCAAATCGACTTCACAAAGGCCGACCACGATGATGGATATCCCTTTGACGGGCCGGGGGGCACCGTGGCACACGCATTTTTCCCCGGAGAGAGGTTCACAGCTGGGGATACGCACTTTGATGATGACGAGGCCTGGACCTTCAGATCTCCAGGTGAGAAACTTTGCTTTTAAGAGTCAAGTGTTGTACACATGCGCCTGCATATTCATGCACTAAATTAATTATTTAACGACAGTGAGTGTCTACATCAAAAGGAGGGGAGAAGATAGAAAAATAATGGGGTTGCATAAATATTGAGTGATATTGTTGGAAACATCTCCCTGAATCATTCCTATGAAACCAGAAGAGAAATATGAAGATTTAAAAGTCAGTGCCTAGAAAATGAAACAGTGTTTTGAACTCTTTTACTCGCCAAGACTTCCATATCCCAAACTAGAACACTAACTGTATTTCTCAGCCCAGCTGTACTTCTACAGTAGCCTTTGTTCATGTTCCAGATTCTATAATCAATCATTTATATGTAAGAACTTTGAATTGAGCATGCAAAGGCTTCAGATGCAGCAGGTTTCCGAGTTGTGACTTATGCATACAGTATGTGATTTTAATCAAAGGTTTATTGTGAGGTATACAAGTGGTTCTCACCTTACCCCTTAGTGCCATAAACAGTCTACTGCACTATGCCGTTGATTAACATGATTTCATATTCATTAAGCAATATATTAAAGAAATGGAGGTGTACTTGAGACTTCAATTAATCAAATCAAGGCATTTACATGTTCTTTCACTTCCAAACAAATGATTGTTCGGGGTGGGGGGGAACAAGTTAAGATCCATTTCGGTGATTCATACATTTTATGTAACAGAAAAAAAGTTTCAATGGATTCAAAGCTGAAAGGAAAATGTCTCTTACAAACCTTGAAGCAACAGTCAGTGATGACATCTAACAGCTGCCTCAATGCCAATCGATACAAGAGGGATTTGGGCATAATGGCAGAGTGATGAGATTTCCTGGGTTGTGGACACATTGGTTAGTGCAAAAATGTCACTGTCTCTTTATGGCAAGGGATAGAGATGGAAAAGTTCATTTTTTTCAAATCATGGTATAGCAATTCAAAAAGATGAAAAAAAAAAAAAAAAACAAGACAGTCTTCTGAGAAAAGTAAAAAGCCTTTTTTTTAAATTAGCTTTCATCATAGAAATGTTAAAAAACAAGGTAACAAGCAGCACAAACAACCTTCTTCAGGGTCCTCAGCACAGACACTGTTTTTTTGTTTTAATGGTATAGCAATTATTTGAAGTACTTGTAGACAACTTGAATATACTGTATATGCGTGTGTGTGTGTGTGCGTGTGTGTGTGTGTGTGTGTGCGTGCGTGTGTGCGTGTGTGCGTGTGTGTGTGTGTGTGTGTGTGTGTGTGTGCGTGTGTGTGCGTGTGTGTGTGTGTGTGTGTGTGTGTGTGTGGTCCCGATAAAACTATAAAATAGATGTAGTAAGAAATACTAGCAGCAGCTGGCTGTCAAAATAATGTTTTATGATATTTTACATTTGGTAGTTTTACCTTAGTCTTCATTCATACTGCTGGCAAAAGGACTTAAATCTGTGATGTGATTCAGATGTGATTCTTTTTTACAGTGTGAACAGAAAAAGTCACATGATCATTTAAAATCTGATTTTAGATTGAATCAGACCTCGCATGTGGTCTGTAATCAGATACAGGTCACATATCTTTCATTGCGACCTCAGTCTGAACAGCCAGGTCAGAATGCGTTCACTCTTAAAAGATGGATGGGACCAGTGATTACTCGTGCTCAGTGAACATGGAAGACATCAGGTTGTAAGTGAGGTGTTAGACCTCATAAGTACTTCAGGTTGACACTAATGTAAAGTTAAACTTGAGAGGTTGTATACCATGACCGACCAGTGTTTCGACACATATCGAAAGAATTGGCCAAGCGTGGCCAATGAAGTCACACGTCACCCTTCTCAAGGGTGTGACTTCAGTTACGTGCATTGTTGCAGAGAGGTAGATGAGAAGATTCATACCGGCTTACAACAAGCAGTAAGCTAACTCAGCGTACAGTTAAGACAGGAAACATTAACGCCCTCTACGGGCACTGAGAGTCGGCAGCCTGTTGCAGCAGCTCCGACTCTTTTTTCTTTATTTCGTCTATTTTCTTGCTTTTATTAAGTATTTTTGCACTGTTTCGGTGTCTATTGTGGGACACTGCTGCAGCGTTTTAGTTGCGGTATTACTCGTGGAATTACGTGTTTCTTTCGGGACTTTTCTTTCTACTGTTGGAATGATCACGTACACTCGTGAGGAACTACTGAGCTTCAGGCATGGAGCCGGTGTTCCTCCTACACGCATCCCTGAGGAGTTATGGAGAGGTGTCCACCGGGGGAAGAAAGCCGGCACTAAAGTCAGGGAGCGGATTGAGAGAGACAGGAAATTTAAACCCTTTCTACCGTCGGTCATCATGGGGAACGTCAGGTCACTCGCCAACAAAGCGGACGAACTTACAGCTTTAGTAAACAGCCAGAGTGTCTACAGGGAGTGCAGTTTGCTTTGCTTCACGGAGACATGGCTACATGGGAATATACCGGACAGTCACATCGATCTGGCTGGCTTCACGCTGGTACGAGCGGACAGGGGGAGACAGAGCAGTAAGAAGAGAGGAGGAGGTCTTGCTGTCTTTATTAACTCTAAATGGTGTAATCCCGGACATGTAACTGTAAAGGATTGTGTCTGTACTCCAGATGTTGAAATGCTAGCGGTGGGAGTGCCACGGGAGTTCTCACATGCCGTTGCTGTTTACGTCCCACCATCAGATGTAGCCGCTAGCGCGAGTGACGTCATTCACATGATTGCGGGACTACAAACCCAGCATCCCAGCGCCCTCATACTGATCAGCGGGGACTTTAATCATGTCTCTCTCTCCCCTGTCCTGACGAACTTTAAACAGTATGTGCACTGTGCTACAAGAGGGAATAAAACCCTGGACCTCCTGTATGCCAACGTGAAGGGAGCATACAGCTCTTCTTCCCTCCCCCTCATGGGGAATCAGACCACAACCTCATCCACCTTGAGACCACCTACAGGCCCCTGGTGAAGCAGCAGGGGGCCAACACAAGGACTTTGAAGGTTTGGTCTAAGGATACAGAGGAGGTCCTGCAGGAGTGTTTCAATGCCACAGACTGGGAACTGTTTAAGGAGGAATATGGTGATGACATTGAAGGCCTCTCTCACTGTATTACAGACTACATCCGTTTCTGTTAGGACACCATAGTCCCTACCAAAACGGTCCGCTGTTTCTCAAATAACAAACCATGGATCAATAAAGACATTAAAGCTCTCCTCAACAGAAAGAAGAGGGCCTTCATGACTAGGGATCGTGAGGAGCTCAAGGCTGTCCAAAAGGAGTTAAAGGAGAAGCTATGAGAGGCCAAGAACAACTACAAGGACAGGATTGAGGCCAAGATGGGACAGGACAACTCAAAGGAGGTGTGGAATGGCATGAAGCAGATGACGGGCTGCAGCAGGCCGGAACCCAGAATTAAAGGAGACCCAGTATTTGCTGCTGAGTTGAACCTATTTTTCAATAGGTGTGACACATCCCCCGACCCAGTGAGCTCAAATAGTGGGTCTAGGTCTCCCTCCACCACCTCAGCCCCCATTCACATCTCTGCTGGAGACTCTGCTCTTCCTCTTCCTCCCATCAAGGTCCTGACCACCTCCCCCCCCCTCTCTCAGCTCCTCATCAGCAGTTTCAAAGGACAGCCCACCCTCACCCTCACCCCCCTGCTCCCTCCCTTCAGGTACCTGCATGACAATAGACAGTTCCCCACACCCCCTCCCCCGCTCACTGTCCCACTCTCACTCTTACTACCAGCCAGGCACAAAGAAAACTCTCCAGACTCCACATCAGAAAAGCCAGTGGACCAGACAACATCAGTCCCAGGATCCTCAAGGTGTGTGCTGGGCAGCTTGCAGGAGTCTTTCAGCACCTCTTCAACCTCTCCCTGAGGCTGATGAAGGTGCCTGACCTGTGGAAGACCTCCTGCATCGTCCCGATACCAAAGAAAGGTCGTCCCAGTGCTCTTAATGACTACAGACCTGTGGCACTCACGTCACATGTCATGAAGACATTTGAGAGGCTGGTTCTCCAGCACCTGAGGACCCTGCTCACTGCTTTCCAGGATCCGTTGCAGTTTGCATATCAGAGGCACATTGGTGTGGAGGATGCTATCATCTTCCTGATCCACAAAGCCCTGTCACACCTGGAGACGAAGGGAAGCACTGTGAGAGTCATGTTCTTTGACTTCTCCAGTGCTTTCAATACCATCCAGCCCTGCCTCCTGAGGGACAAACTGCTGGATATGCAGCTGCGCCCTGACATCTCAGCCTGGATCTTCAACTACCTCACGGGCCGGCCACAGTATGTCAGAGTCGACGGCTGTGTCTCTGATGTAGTGACGGGCAACACAGGAGTACCTCAAGGAACTGTTCTGGCGCCTTTTTCTCTTCACTCTCTTCACATCAGACTTCAGATTTAACTCTGGTTCCTGCCACCTCCAAAAGTTTTCCGACGACTCCTCCATTGTTGGGTGCATCACTGATGACGACGAGAAGCAGTACAGAGGACTGTTAGAGAGCTTTGTCACATGGTGTGAAAGCAACCACCTGAAGCTCAACATCAGCAAAACAAAGGAGGTGGTAGTGGACTACCGGAAGAAGAAGAAGAAGCCCCCTGCCCCAGTCATCATCCAGGGGGAGGAAGTGGAGACGGTGGACTCATACAAGTACCTTGGGGTCCACATCAACAATAAACTGGACTGGTCTCACAACTCTGACGCCCTCTTCAGGAAGGGACAGAGCAGGATGTTCTTCCTGAGGAGACTCAGATCGTTCAGTGTCTGCAACAGACTCCTGAAAAACCTTCTACCAGTCTGTGGTGGCCAGTGCCCTCTTCTTTACTGTGGTGTGCTGGTGGGGTGGTATCAAGACTGGTGAAGCAAACAGGCTGAACAAGCTGGTGAGGAAGGCCCGCTCTGTAGTGGGTCTGGATCTGGACAGTTTGGAGACAGTGGGTGAGAGGAGGATGAAGGACAAAATCTTATCCATCCTGGATAACTCCTCTCACCCTCTACATGG